ATAGTCTTCTTTGGAAGCCCTTTGTTACCGTATATTTTGTAAATAGACCCAAGGATGGTCACAAGATATCTTTGCTGTAATTTAAAATCGCTGCTATAAAACAGCGATTATATCTAACCTAATAGACCTATCAGATATTTCAACTGGTAACTAACTTTATGTCCAGGTTTTTTTGAAGTTAGTTATTTTTTGTTTCTTGGATAGCTGATGATTGTCAAATCGCAATGAACAAACTATTAATTATAATAATCCATTATTAGTACATGTACTTTTGCTAATCCAATTCTTGTTTCAACCTAAAGTAGATTGTTACTTCTTCAATGTCAGTTTATATTGCAGAAAGAAGGAAACCATTTTATCATGTAAACTTCATGCAATAGGATATGTTAGTTGAGAGTATGGACTTGAGCACAACTATCTGGAATCAAATCCTGGCTCCACGAATTACTAGCTGTGTAACCTTGGAAAAGTTACTTAAATGTGAAGTGGTTAGAGCAATGTCTGGCATGTACAATTGAACCTTGAACAATGCAGATGCAGGGGTTAGGGGTGCTGATTCCCTGTTCAGTAAAAATCCACATGTAACTTTTGACTCCCCAAAAACATAACTACTACGAATATACTGTTGACCAAAAGCCTTACCAATAATATAAACAGTCTGCTTAACACATATTTTGTATGCTATATGTATTATATAATGTTTTCTTACAATAAAGTAAGCTAGAGAGAAGAAAACATTAAGAAAATCATAAGAAAGAAAATATGTTTACTGTTTATTAAGTGGAAGTGGATCATCATAAAAGTCTTCATCCTTGTCATCTTCACATTGGGTGAGTTAGGGTGGAAGGGGTGGGATTAGTCTTGCACTCTCAGGGGTGGCAGAGGTGGAAGAAAATCCACATATAAGTGAACCCATGTCGTTCAGACCTGTGTTGTTCAAGGGTACTGAGCTCTCAGTAAATACAATGACCATGTACTTTCAGTGCTCTGGTACATAGAGTACAGGCATACTTCATTTTATTGTGCTTTGCGGATATTTATTTTTTTTACAAATTGAAAGTTTTTTACAACCCTGTGTTGAGCAAATCTGTTTGCACCGTTTTTCCAGCAGCATGTGCTCACTTAATGTCTTTGTCACATTTTGGTAATTCTTGCAATATTTCAGACTCTTTCATTATATCTGTTATGGTGATTAGTGATCTTCAATGTTACTATTGTAATTATTTTGGGATGCCATGAACTGTATCTGTCTAAGAGTGAACATAATTGATAAATGTTGTGTGTGTTCTGACTGCTCCACCAAATGGCCTTTTCCATTTCTGTACCTCTCCTCGGGCCTCCCTATAGCCTGAGACACAATAATATTGAAAGTAGGCCAATTAGTAACCCTAAAATGCTCTCTTAAGTGCTCAGGTGAAAGGAAGAGTCACACATCTCTCACTTTAAATCAAAAGCTAGAAATGATTACGTTTAATGCAGAAGGCATGTCAGAAGCTGAGACAGACTAAAAGCTGGGCCTCTTGTGGTGGTTTAGCCACGTTGTGAATGTAAAGGAAAAGTTCTTGAAGGAAATTAAAGGTGCTACTCGAGTGAACACAGGAATGATAAGAAAGTGAAATAGGCTTAGTTGATTCTAACCTTCTATGGATGTCTTTGAGGGCATCTGAGACTTCAGTGGAGGAAGTAACCATAGGTGTGGTAAAAATAGCAAGAGAACTAGAGTTAGATAGTGAAGATGTGACTGAATTGCTACAATTTCATGTTAAAACAGATAACAAGTTGCTTCTTATGGATGAGCAAACAAAGTGTTCTCTTGAGGTGAAATCTACTCCTGGTGAAGATGTTGTGAACATTGTTAAAATGACAACAAAGCATTTGGGCTATGGACTATTATATAAACTGAGTTGATAAAGTAGCAGCAGGGTTTGAGGAGATTGACTCCAATTTTGAAAGAAGTTCTATGGGTCAAACAGCTGTCAAACATGCTACAGAGAAATCTTTCATGAAAGGAATAATCAGTGTGGTGGACTTTGTCTTATTTTAAGAAATTGTCACAGCCACCCCAACCTTTAGCAACCGCCACTCTGCCATCAACATCGAGGAAAGACCCTTTCCAGTAGCAAAAAGATTATAACTTACTGAAGGGTCCGATGATCGTTAGCATTGTTAATACTATTTTTTAATTCTGGTATGTCCATTTTTTAGATATAATGCTATTGTACACATAATAGACTACAGTATAGTGCAAACATAATTTTTATATGCACTAGGAAACCAAAAAATTAATGTAATTTTATTGCAATGTTTGCTTTGTTGCTGTGTTCTGGAACTAAACCCATAATATTTCTGAGGCACACCTGTACTGAGTGTTCTGGTAGCATTAGAAGAATGGTGCTTTGAAGTTGGACATGGTGGTTCATGCCTGTGACCCCAGCACTTTGGGAGGCTGAGGTGGGAGAATTGCTTGAGCTTAGGAGTTCAAGACCACCCTGAGCAACTTAGCAAGACCCCATCTCTACAAAAATTTAAAAATTAGCCATGCATGGTGGTATCTGCCTCTAGTTCCTCCCAATCTAGGAGGATTGCTTGAGCCCATGAGTTTGAGTTTGCAGTGAGCTATGATTCATGTGCCACAGCTCTCCAGCCTGGGCGACAGAGCAATAGCAAGACCCTGTCTCTTTCTTTAAAAAAAAAAAAGAGGAATAGAACTTTGCTTTGTTCTACATTCTTGAAGGAAACTGTTCATTTTCATTTTTAGTTTTTAAAATTGTGGTTAAATACAGATGATATATAATTTACCATATTAAAAGTATTTAATTCAGTGGCATTATGTGTATTTACAGTAACCAACCATCACCAACAATTCTAGAACTATCCGGTTCATCATCCCAACAGAAACTCCATACCCATTAAGCAGTCATCGCCTTTCCCTCCTCCCCTTATACCCTGCAACAACTCATCTACTTTCTGTCTGTGAATTTGTCTAATGTGCATATTTCATATAAATAGAATTATATAATATGTAGCCTTTTGTGTATAGCTTCTTCCGCTTCCGTATAGCATGTTTTCAAGATTCACCCCTTATAGCGTGTATTACTATAGAACTTCATTCCTGTTTATGGCTGAATAATATTTCATTGTATGGATAGACCACATTTTATTTATCTGTTCATCTAATGATATACTTGGAGCTATTCCTGCCTTTGGCTGTTGTGAACAGTGCTATTGTGAATATTCATGTACAAGCTTTTGTTTGAACACCTGTTCTAGATACATACCTAGGAGTGGAATTGCTGAGGCATGTGGTTATTCTGTTTAATCTATTGAGGAACTGCCAACCTGATTTTCATAGTATGTGCACCATTTTACATTCCCACCAGTAATGTATGAGGGTCCCAGTTTCTCTGCATCATTGTCAACCCTTGTATTTTCCAATTTTTAAATAATGGCCATCCTAGTGAGTATGAAGTGGTATCTCATGGCAATTTTGAATTGGCATTCACTTTTTCTTCCAGAATATGAAAAATGTGTTCAGTCCATTGCCCTGTATCATCAATTATATTTTTATGTATATTCTGACCTGTCTACTTCACTGTGGAAATATTCTCTCTTATCTCTTTACTAGACTGTAAACTTCTTGAAGGCAAGGGATCAGGTTCTAATACTACCTGTTATATGCAACAAGGCCAGGTGTAAAGTAGGTGTTCATTAGTCGTACAAGTCAGACAATATTGGCAGCTTTTTTATTCTCTCTCTCCCATCCTTGACCTCCATTTTCTGAATCTTTTAGCTTATGCTGTTGCCTCTGCTTGAAAATGTCCCTGTTGATTCTTTTCAGAATTCTATTTATTCTTCCCCCTCTTTTCCTAAAGTCTTTTCTGATTGGCCTAATAAAAATATAATATTCTCCTTTTGTTTCTGCTATTAAATTGAGCACCAGCTTTTGCTGAACATTTTACTTCATTGACTTTAAATCGTCCCAGTGGCCCACAAAGTAATAATAACCCTCAAGAAGATATTAAATCACCAGCTGCATTTAGCCCCTAAAAATAAAAAAATAAAATAAAAAAAAAGAAGATATTAAGGTTAAGAGAATTTACATAACCTGCCCAAGTAGTATTGGAGCTAAGATTTAAACTTAGGTCTCTTTGGCTCCAAAGCTGTTGTCCTGTCTTCCTCCTGTTTTATGGTAACTGTTGTGGCATTCTGCATTTTGTTGTAGTTGTTAATAGTTGGTTGAGAATCTGTTATAAATATTTGCGTCCATCATGGTGTCTTTATCATTCTGTAAATATTTGTGGAATGAATGAAAGGAGGCTTTTATACTAGAAATAATTATGGACAGGTTTGGGAAATAATCCTATGGATCAAGGAATAATTTACTTGATAATAACTAGCTAAATAACCTAGGTAAATAACCCTATGGATCAAGAATGGGTTGGTTAAATTCACATTCAATCTATTACCCACTAACTAGTGAATCTTTTATTTAAATTATGGCATAGATTAGTTCAATCTTCAAACCTGCATCAAATCAGTATAGCTCAGTGGATTAGAGCATTGACTCTAGAATTGGGCTTCCTGGGTTCTTATCCTGCTTTGTCTTGCAAATTACCTAACACATATTTTCTCATGTATGAAATTGAGATTAGTACTTAGCATTTACAATTGTTAAGATTAAGTGAGATGTCAAATAAAAGATTCAACAACTGACAGTGTAGTAAATAGGCCACAGGTTGGCCAATGGGAAGTTGTGAGAAACGAAAGAAGAAAAAGAAAAATTTAAAATAAAGGTCATAGGGAGTGATTTAATTTTTCACATTTCCTGTTGTCTTTCCCATTTTGTGTGATTTGATTATCAATGTTGAGTGAGAACTTTCTCCTTGTCTATTACTAGAAAGAAGAAAGGGGAATTTGTTTCTTTCCTCTGTGTTTATATTCTTAATATATTTAAGGATTTAGTGGCTCACCAGAGATGATCAATGCATCTTTCATGGCAGGGAGTCGTCGCATGGTGGATGTCATGGATGTGAACACACAGAAAGGCATTGAAATGACCATGGCTCAGTGGACACGCTACTATGAGACCCCAGAGGAGGAGCGAGAGAAGCTCTATAATGTCATCAGCCTAGAATTTAGCCACACCAGGCTGGAGAACATGGTGCAGAGGCCCTCCACGGTTAGTCTAATCATTTTCTCCATATTGTCATTGTCACCAAAAGAGTTACTTTTATACTGGGAGAATTTATAAATTTCTGCACATATCAAGATTAAGCTGAAGGTGAACAAGACTATTTGATAAGAATAATTTGTATTTCTAGAATACTCTGCATTTTCCAAAATCATTTCATTTTATATAGGGCAGTATCCCTCTGATTTGTATAAAAAAATAATTTTAAGGACATTGACCTTTGCCTGTGATGGCGAGGAGTCTTAAAATTTATTCTTTACAAGATAATTGTTGGTGGGAAGTTTGCTTAAGAAATTTCTATCCTCTAGATTTACACTTATCAGAAGCTTAGGAGAAAACTAGTTTAGAGCCAGGTGAGCATTTTGTGTGATGATTGCTTGAGTAGGATCTAGTGGGTGACTGTAGTAGTAAGAGTTTGGTGATCCATCTAAGGCAAAATTCAATTTAATTTGCTTTTGATCTTAAGCTTTCCAGAAGGCAGATTTTAATTTAACCAATCTTTTGTCTATAGGATGTTGGGAACACCTACTTCCCTAAGGCAGCTTGGTTTCATTTTTGGAACATACCAGGTCATTTTGGGGTTATTTCTATTCATTTTATTCCTGACTCAGAACTTGTTTAAGTAAACTGTTCCATCTACTACGGTAGAGGTTGGAATGTTTTAGTCATTTTATTAAAGTCAAGTCCTTAGCGTTTTATCTAGTTGTCTTTGAAATTATCGTAATTATATTCTTTGACTTTCAGAGTTAAAATATAGTAATTGCTTTTAACATCTTTACCTAATAAATGTGTATACCTTCAACCTACTACTAAATTGCATTATCACCAATATATTGTTAGACGAATGGGGAAATATTCTCAATATTTTGTTATTGTCTAAAGAGACAGTGTAATTTCTTGTCATTACTTTTTGTTATTGGAATGCTACAACTAAAAGCAGAATTTCTCATTAAGAAAAACTTTTTTGGGGCCGGGCATGGTGACTCACGCCTGTAGTTCTAGCTCTCTGGGAGGCCGAAGCGGGTGGATTGCTCAAGTTCAGGAGTTCGAAACCAGCCTGAGCAAGAGTGAGACCACCCGTCTCTACTAAAAATAGAAAGAAATTAATTGGCCAACTAAAAATATATAGAAAAAATTAGCCGGGCGTGGTTGCACATGCCTGTAGTCCCAGCTACTCGGGAAACTGAGGCAGAAGGATTGTTTGAGCCCAGGAGCCTGAGGTTGCTGTGAGCTAGGCTGATGCCACGGCACTCTAGCCCGGGCATCACAGTGAGACTCTGTCTCAAAAAAAAAAAGAAAAACTTTTTCTCTCCCTAGAATGAAAAGAATCCTTATGTTACCGTTTTTTGTTCATGTGGAAGTACAAGAAAACAAGGCAGTAAGCATTTTGCCTTCTTATTAGCCAAACAAAGTTTGCTTAGTAAATAGAGAATTCAGTTAGAAAGAGACATAGGAATTACAGTAACATTGTTTATAAGTGTACTTCTTTAATATTAATATTTAATATTTTCATTTAAAATAATACAATTATAGCTATAAATATAAATATAAAACTTGACCTGGATCATACTTATCCATTAAGATTTAGAAATGTATGACCATTCACACATGAAACCCTTCTTTTGTAGCATCCTGAACTTACTCATTTTGTCAGCCTTAATGATAAAAATGGTATATCATTTTATAGAAATTAGAGAAATGCTACATGCTACACTGTTAAATGGAGGAGTAGAACCTATGAGAGGGCTCGGAAATAGAAAATTATCAGGGGGGAAAGGCCACAATGCACTGGTATCTTTTAGGTACTTAAAACATGCCCAGAGCCGGGCGCAGTGGCTCACGCCTGTAATCCTAGCACTCTGGGAGGCCGAGGCGGGCGGATTGCTCGAGGTCAGGAGTTCGAGACACCTGAGCAAGAGCGAGACCCCATCTCTACTATAAATAGAAAGAAATTAATTAGCCAACTAATATATATAGAAAAAAATAGCCGGGCATGGTGGCGCATGCCTGTAGTCCCAGCTACTTGGGAGGCTGAGGCAGGAGGATCCCTTGAGCCCAGGAGTTTGAGGTTGCTGTGAGCTAGGCTGACGCCATGGCACTCACTATAGCCTGGGCAACAAGCAAGACTCTGTCTCAAAAAAAAAAAAAAAAAAAAACATGCCCAGAAAAATTTAGTGAACTATTACCAAGGTTACTTCCTAAGACCAAGTGAGCTTTTTGTGACCTTGCTAATAACAATAACATGCTTATTCTACTGGATTTTCTCCCTAGTATATCCCTTCATTTATCTTAATATTTTCCAATATGTCTCAGTAGTGCTCTTTAAAAAACAACTTTATTGAGGTAAAATTGACAATAAAGTACATACTCATTTTAAGTGTACATTTCAGTGCGTTTTGAAAGACGTGTTTACTCATGTAAGTACCACTGCAATCAAGATACAGAACATATCATATTAATATTTCTTAAACCTAAAGCTACATAATCTCTTGCTCCTTATGATCTTTACTAAGTACTATGCTAGGTGCTACAGATACAGTGGAAAATAACATCATTCCTGTCCTCAAAATGCTTAGAGACTTATAGGGAAGAAACATAAAAAATAGGCATTTATTGGCTGGGCGCAGTGGCTCATGCCTGTAATCCTAGCACTCTGGGAGGTCAAGGCGAGAGGATCACTCAAGGTCAGGAGTTCGAAACCAGCCTGAGCAAGAGCAAGACCCAGTCTCTACTAAAAATAAAAAGATATTAATTGGCCAACTAAAATATATATATAGAAAAAATTCGCTGGGCACGGTGGTACATGCCTGTAGTCCCAGCTACCTGGGAGGCTGAGGCAGAAGGATCACTTGAGCCCAGGAGTTTGAGGTTGCTGTGAGCTAGGCTGACGCCATGGCACTCTAGCCCAGGCAACAGAGTGAGACTCTGTCTCTAAAAAAAAAAAAAATGGCACTGGTACACATTTGTTTGGTAATGGGGAAATTAGTTCATGGTAGGCCATGAATTGTTTTTGCACAATATACGAATAGATTAGATCCATGATACTAGACATCTTGCCAGTTTGGCCCTGGTTTTAGTGCAGAACAGATCATAACTGGTGTTAATCCTTACTGGAGACTTGCTCCCATATGGATCAGAGTATTTAGCAAAGGGCTTATACAGGAGCCAAAAATTACCCTAAGAAGAAAAGTATAAGCATGTTACCACAAATTCTCTCTGTAGTCAGAAGTTACCTGATTATGCCAAAGAAAGGGAGGCAAGAATGACTGACTTTGTTGGTGTAGGTGAGAAATTCTGGCCAGAGAAATTCTGCTTTCTATGAATGAACACTTGGTAAAAAATAATCTTACATTCCCAACCCTTCTTCTCCCTGTCCAGACATGGGCACTTATAGTATATTAAGCAAGTACTTTATTCCTTATTCTGTTAAAGGCATTCCAAAAGACCACACAGGGAGATGGGAGATGTTGACCACTACTTTAACAAACAGAAAGTAGGGGGGCCGGCGGGCAGCAAAAAAAAAAGGAGAAAGAAACAAAGTAGATTTTGTTTGAAGGAAAGAAAGGCATCTGGGGCTCATTCAGTGTTTTAGACCTAGGGAATGCTTGGTTAAAATTGTTGGCCCCCTGAGCAGAAATTCTTTGAGATGGTGTAGCAAGTTAACCTTAATAGTTGCTCCTTATTTTGCTCATTTCTTCCATGTCATTGATGATCCTTTCTAAATACTTTCCCACAGTTAACATCTGGGTGTCCACTGTACAACTGCCTTATATAATGCACAGATTGTATGTATTTGTCTACCTGCACACTATAAGGAAAATAAATGATCAAATATATAAATGTTGTTATACAGCTTACCAGATACATGTTTTTTACAACTATAAGTTAGTTATGACATCAGCACTGTGCTGAGTTCATATTGATTTGCTCTCACACTTTACCTACCTAGAGTTGTTTCTTTATCTACCTGGAGTTCAGTGGTTGGGTGGAGACACTTGAAGATACAGGACATGCTGTGGTTTAGTGTAAAATGTTAAAATAGTTTCATACTGCATTCACTTATTTTTTTCAGCAAGTATTATTTAAAACATATTCCTAAACTTTGATAACATTATTTCAGAAATTTTAACATGTATTTACATTTAATCTGTACAACATACCTTTGAGGTAATTATCTTAGTTTTATAGATGAGTTCCAGGGCCTTGCATAATCTTTCAAAACTGAACTTATTAACATTAGTGTCACTAAAGTTGGTATTCAGCCCTCCACTGCTAAAGTTGACTGGCTTTAAAAAAAAAAAAAACAAAAAAACCATGACAGAGGCCGGACGTGATGGCTCACGCCTGTAATCCCAGCACTCTGGGAGGCCAAGGCTGGTGGATCCTTTGAGCTCAGGAGTTCAGAACCAGCCTGAGCAAGAGCAAAACCCTGTCTCTACTAAAAATAGAAAGAAATTCATTGGCCAACTAAAAATATATATATAAAAAAAAAATCAGCCAGACATGGTGGCACATGCCTATAGTCCCAGCTACTGGGGAGGCTAAGGCTCAGACTCCTTGCTTGAGCCAGGGAGTTTGAGGTTGCTGTGAGCTAAGCTGATGCCATGGGACTCTAGCCTGGGCAGCAGTATGAGACTCTGTCTCAAAATAAATAAATAATGAATGAATGAGACAGACATGAAGTTTCTGATTCCTAACCTAGTAGTTTCTATAATACATAACCTATGTAAGACTACAAATCCATATTGGATTTATTTCTTTTTTTGTTTTTGTTTGTTTGTTTAACTTTTGGCATCTTAGCTGCTCTAACAGTGGTATTTCTTTTGGTGAGTTTACAGCTACCTTTCAGACAGCACCTTTTATTAGACCAAAAAATACAGTAAATTATGCCAATTGACATAGAAGAGTATTTGTTTGGACACGACTATATCATTTAATGACCCCACTTTTGCTGATTATCATTATGGTGATGGAACCATTAGTCTTTATTCTTATTTAATAATTATTTCTAGAATGTTTGCCTAGTGACCCTAAGATTCACCAACAGATTGTTTTAATTTGCTTATAATTAAATTGTGGTCTTTTAATGTGTATTTCACAGAATTCTATTTTTCTTAACTTTAAAATTCTCTTTAACCCCAACCCTTCCTTTGGAGCCTAAATGTTTCCTCCATTTTAAAGGTGGATTTCATTGACTGGGTAGACAACATGTGGCCAAGGCACTTGAAGGAAAGTCAGACTGAATCAACAAATGCCATCTTGGAGATGCAGTACCCTAAAGTGCAGAAGTAAGTGACGTCCCCTTGGATTTTCCTCAGTGTGCTATTAGAAGACCAAAGTGATAGCAAGGAATGGTTCCTCTCTTACAAGCTTTGTTTTGTGTGCTAAATGATCAAAAAGTTGAATTATTTAAAGAGTAGACTTTACAATTCCAAAAGGAAGAGTATGTGTAAACATAGCATATAATCACATGACTAAAGGAAAAAAAAACCTATCACTTCTGATAATGTGATGACTTGAAATTGAATTCCTTTCACCTATCAGGAATTGATTAGGTGGAAAGTTGAAGGAATACCCAAGGGGTGAGTGTAGCATTTTGGTGGGACAGGTCCTCTTTTTTTCATCAGTACACTAATGCTGCTGCTTCTTTTGGGTCAGGTACTGTCTAATGAGTGTTCGAGGCTGCTATACTGACTTCCATGTGGACTTTGGTGGTACCTCTGTTTGGTATCACATCCATCAAGGGGGAAAGGTACGGTCATAGTTGTGAGAGGGGGTTGGAATCTGAAGCTGGTTATATGACTTTTCTTTGGTTCATGTATATTTAATATACACTGGAAACGAATCTGTTAGGAAGACGTCCCCATTCATATCTGGAAAGAAATGTAGCTTAACCTGACCTTCTTGGCTAGTGTTCGGTAGGAATTAGTATTCATCCAGTCCACTGTCATTACACCAATATTGGCATAGTATTTAGTAATCTCAACAGTCCTATTTCTAGATTCCCAAAACAGAATTCTCCAAATGAAGCCAAGAAAGTGATTTTAGGAGGACAAGATAATTCCTGTACTTGGAAATGTAGTAACATGTTTGAAAGGAACATAAAATTTAGGTAGATTCATGATGAAATCAGCAAATTAAGATCCAAATCAACTTCTTCTGTTATGAAGGCATTGGTTTAAAATGTGAACAAAGGAAGCCTTGGGTCCTTTTTGAGGATATAAATATGTTTTGGAGGACTGTCCTCATTCATAAAGAATTATATTCCAGCTTGTCAGAATATTTTTGAATGCTACATAAGAATGGCAATCTAGAAGTAATACCAGAGGTGTATAGTATTATACTCTATTATTACCCTTTTTCCCTTTATTAGAGTGTATGCATTTATGAGTGAAAAGTAGAACTAGAATGAAAACAGATAATATTTTGTAAAATGTGAAGTCTTCTTACTCTAGAATGACTGTACCTCCAAATCCAGAAAGTCACGTTGTTTACTTTAGATATGTTTAAGTCCTATTGGTCTTAATTACTACCTTGGGAACAAAGCAACCCAGACCAGTCTTTTGAAGATACTGTACCCAACTGACTGCGTTTTAGGACTCTAGAGGTCAGTCAGGGGTGTATAAAGGACTACCTAGGTGTAATGAACCAAATGCCCTTCTTCTCTCTGAGTCCCACATGGGTTCTGGGTTCTGCAGTCAAACCCCAGGGAAGCCCCAATGCTGTGTGATCAAGTAGAGGACAAGAAAGATCTACTTCCTTGGGACTTTTAGAGTTTCTCAAATAGTCAAGTTCTTTAGGCTGGGAGAATTGCTAGTCTGTCTTCTACCTGGAGGTCTTAATTTTGTACCTGTTTATCAGTTGAGGGAGATGACTGGGTCATGTCAATGGCTGTTAACAGACTCAAGTTTTTTAACTCACAGGTCTTCTGGCTCATCCCCCCTACAGCCCACAACCTGGAGCTGTACGAGAATTGGCTGCTGTCAGGGAAACAGGGAGACATCTTTCTGGGTGACCGGGTGTCAGATTGCCAGCGCATTGAGCTCAAGCAGGGCTATACCTTCGTCATTCCCTCAGGTAAGTGAAATGGGGAAAAGTGGGTTGTTTAGCCACTTTTCTTTTCTTAAAAAGAGATTAATGGATTACCACCAAGAGTGGTTATGATGTTAGGTGGAGAAAAAACAGTGGTATCTTTTCCTGTCATTAGGGAATATTTTTAAAAGAAGTGATTTTTTTTTCCAATAAAGGTGTATCTGAATTGCCAGCAAAAGCTTTTCAGATCTACACATTTGGGCCCCACATTAGCTTTAGTAATTCAGAATGTCTATAGATAGGACCTGTTCTGCATGTGATATACAACCTACAGAGATGAAGAGCTACCTTCTCTTCTAGGGAATGGCTGTGAAGGCTAGAGCACTGAATCAGGAATATTTTTGATAAAGTCATTAGTTCTAAAATAAGTGCTTATGGAAGAGCATATGGCTGGGCACAATGGCTCATGCCTGTCATCCCAACATTTTGGGAGGCCAAGATGAGAGGATCACTTGAGTCCAGGAGTTTCACACTAGCCTGAGCAGCATAATGAGACCCTGGCTCTAAAAATAAACAAAATTAGCTGGGCATGGTGGCACATGCTGTAATCCTAGCTACTCAGGAGGCTGAGGCAGGAGGATCACTTGAGCCGAGGAGTTAGCGAGCTATGATGACACCACTGTGCGAGCTATGGTGACACCACTGTGCTCTAGATGGGACACAGAGACCCTGTCTTTTAAAAAAAAACAAAAAAAAAACCCACAGATTTTGGAGTCACAGACTTGTGTTAGAATTCTTATGATACATTTACCTGTTAGATACCACTTTGGTCAAATATTTAAATCAGTGTCTCATTTTGTTGTGAGGAGTAAATGAGAATACATGTAAACTATCTTGTGTAGAGCCTGGTTCATAGTTGATGCTCCAGTAAATGGTAGCATTTATTAAAAGTTTATTATATGCTTGGGCTGGGCGCGGTGGCTCACACCTGTAATCCTAGCACTCTGGGAGGCCGAGGTGGGCGGATTGCTCGAGGTCAGGAGTTCAAAACCAGCCTGAGCAAGAGCGAGACCCTGTCTCTACTATAAATAGAAAGAAATTAATTGGCCAACTAATATATATACAAAAAACTAGCCGGACATGGTGGCGCATGCCTGTAGTCCCAGCTACTCGGGAGGCTGAGGCAGGAGGATTCCTTGAGCCCAGGAGTTTGAGGTTGCTGTGAGCAAGGCTGATGCCATGGCACTCACTCTAGCCTGGGCAACAAAGCGAGACTGTCTCAAAAAAAAAAAGTTTATTATATGCTAAACACTTTACATGTATCTCTCATTTAATGCTCACCAACAATGATATGAGGTATAATTTATCTTGGTTTTATAAAAGAAATTGAGGCTGTGAGAGATTAAGTGATTTGACCAACCACTAAGTAGTAGAATCAGAGTAAAGAACATAATCTAGGGTCTTATACTGAGAGAGCCTTGTTTGTAATGTGTGCTTTCAGCCACTGCCCTCCATTCCCTTTCTTCTAGGCTGGATTCATGCTGTGTATACTCCTACAGACACGTTAGTGTTTGGAGGCAATTTTTTGCATAGCTTCAACATCCCCATGCAATTAAAAATATACAACATTGAAGATAGGACACGGGTAAGTAATTTTATGTAACAGTTGAATTTGAAGAGGTTTACTCCAATTAAGACAGATGTAAGAGATTCATTGATAGTTTGTCAAAACTTCAGTTTTTCTTTAGGTTAACATACAGTGTTGACATTTTTGGAACACAGAGAAGTATAAAATTTTTCTTTTTTATTAAAAGGATTTACATGCTTGGTTTTGGCAACTCTAATTCTTTAAGGTTCTTGGTATCTTGGATTTTTATAGGGCCGAAGATGGACATCTGGTAATTTCTTGAGCCACATTTTTCATTTTTGTTCTTATAGGATAATTTGGTATAATGGAGTTTATCAACTCAGGTTAACAACTTTAAATTCGTGTGTCTTTTTTTACTCTGATTACTGTGATTATGGTCAATGAACCATTATGGTGCCTATTTTGAAACATTTATTTTTGTTTAGGAGCTACATGTCACCTGATATACAAAATTGATATTGTCGGAGTTACAGGAATTGCCCATTAATCGAATTAAGAGAAGAAACAATGCTTTTTCAATATATTTTATAACAGTGAATTTCTGCTTTTCTGTTAAGAGTAATGTAATGAAACTATACAAAAAATAATAGTTTATTAAGTTTGAAGTTATAATAAAGGGTATATCTGCAAAAATAGGTAAAATGATTCAAATGAGAAAAACATATATAATTTTACAGTAAAATATTCTTGTTTAATTTATCCTGGGAGGTAACCCTACCCACCTGTTATAAAATTTAGTCTGGGCCAGGAGCAGTAGCTCACGCCTGTAATCCTAGCACTCTGGGAGGCTAAGGCGGGTGGATCATTTGAGCTCAGGAGTTCGAGACCAGTCTGAGCAAGAGCGAAACCTCATCTCTACTAAAAATAGAAAGAAATTAGCTGGACAACTAAAAATATATAGAAAAAATTAGCCAGGCATGGTGGCACATGCCTGTAGTCCCAGCTACTTGGGAGGCTGAGGCAGAGGGATCGCTTGAGCCTGAGATCACTTGAGCCCAGGAGTTTGAAGTTGCTGTGAGCTAGGCTGATGCCATGGCACTCTATCCTGGGCAACAGAGTGAGACTCTGTCTCAATCAATGTGTGTGTGTGTGTGTGTAATAAAATTCAGTCTGAAAATTAGTTTTTGAATACATTCCTGTTTTGTAGCTAAAGATACCTAGGACTTAATTGGTTCAGTTTCACAGAAGGAAGAAGGAAATATATATTCAGTAACATAAGTAAAATAAGCACCTTATCTCAGAAAGTTTCCTGCAAACTCTTAGACTGATAAAAAGTGATCGTGATATACCTAATTCCTAGACTTTATTTATTAGAAAATGTCAAATTTCAGGCCAGATGCAGTGGCTCACGCCTGTAATCCTAACACTCTAGGAGGCCGAGGCAGGAGGATTGCTTGAGGTCAGGAGTTTGAGACCAGTCTGAACAAGAGCGAGACCCCGCCATCTCTACTAAAAATAGAAAAAATTAGCTGGGCATGGTGATGCACACCCATATTCCCAGCTACTTGGAAGGCTGAGGCAGGAGGATCACTTGAGACCAGGAATTTGAGGTTGCCGTAAGCTAGGTTTATACCATGGCACTCTAGCCCCGGCAACAAAGAGAGACTGTCTCCAAAAAAAAAGAAAAAGAGGGAGAGATAAGAAAATGTCAAATTTCAGTATCTAACCGTATTTTTCTATTTTTTTGTGTGTGTGACTTAATTCTTTCTTTCCAAATAAGGAATTTTTCTGTGTTGCTATAAAATTTCATTGGGTCCCCTACATATGTGCACATAGCAATTTTTTTATTGCTTTCCATAACCAGCCTTTTATGGGCCAATACCAACCTTCTATCCATTTACTATGTTACTAATCTCTATAAACTTATAAAGTTTTATTTAAAAGAGAATGTATAAAGAATGCTTTGCAAAAAGAAATATAAAGCGTGTTGTAAACAAGGCAATGTTTTGGTTACTTTTCCCATACCAGTATAGAAATTTACTATTTGAACTTAAGTGTTGGTAATTATTCTGATAGTGCTTAAAGGCTCAGTAATTTTGTAATGGGGATTTATTAAAAAACTTTCAAAAAAACTTGTAACCAAGTCTTAGAAATTGATATGCTCTGTGCTTTTTGGCAGCACAGGGAAAAATGTAATGAGGGCAGGTTAGGTGTGTGATATCTTGGCTGTTGTTAATACAGTCTCATGAGTTATAAGTAAAAACTCAAAATTTTAATGCCATTATTTTATTTTATATTTTCATCCCTTTTTTATTTCCTTCTTTCCTACCTTCTTGTTTATTTATTTATTTATTTATTTGTATTTTTTTTAGATGTGAGGTCTTGCTCTGTCACTCAGACTGGAGTGAGTGCAGTGGCCCGATCATAGCTCACTGTAACCTCGAACTACTGGGCCCAAGCAATCCTCCTGCCTCAGCCTCCAGAGTAGCCAGGACTACAGTCATCGGCCACCATGACCAGCTAATTTATTTATTTATTTATTTATTTTGGTACAGGTGGAGTCTCGTTATGTTGACCAGGCTGGTCTTGAACTCCTGGGCTCAAACAATCCTCCCACTTGGTCCCCCAAAATGCTGGGCTTGCAGGCATGTGCCACTGCACCGGCCTTACTTGACTTTTACATAAGGGAGTAACCCTTCTAGTTGTTAAAGCTGTAGCCACATAAGAGACCCAGATTCAGGGTCTGGCTGCTCTACATTGGAAAAATAATTGGGGTAGACCATGAAAAATATGCCTCTCTAGCCTCACAATGAGGAAGTGATCTTATTCCTTAATGATGCCCTATGACCTTGTGAAAGCTTTTGAAAAGGGGCTCTTACACAATTCTCCTTGATTGAGGAAAACTACCTAATGCAGTGCTTTGAAAAGGGGTAGATGAGGTCATCTCTTCAGGATGGGAACATTGTCAGGAGTTGCATGTTCAAAATGATCTTGATTTTGGAAAAGACATAGCACCCCCCCCCCAAAAAAAAAAGGAAAAAAAAATGATCTTGAAAGTATTGTTTGGCTTTTTTTTTTTTTTTTAGACAGAGTCTCACTCTGTTGCCTAGGCTAGAGTGCCGTGGCATCAGCCTAGTTCACAGCAACCTCAAACTCCTGGGCTCAAGCAATTCTCCTGCCCCAGCCTCCCTAGTACTTAGGACTACAAGCATGCACCACCATGCCTAGCTAATTTTTTCTACATATTTTTAGCTAATTTCTTTCTTTTTTTTTTCTTTTTTCAATAGAGACGGGGTCTCGATCTTGCTCGGGTTGGTCTCGAATTCCTGAGCTCAAACGATCCTCCCGCCTCTGCCTCCCAGAGTGCTAGGATTACAGGCGTGAGCCACCACTCCTGGCCTTGGCTTATTCTTTTGAAAGATGGCCTCTGTAAAAGAAGGGGGCAAAATATATTTAGGATAGTCTCCATTATTGATTTTTATAACTGATTAATCCATGCTTATTTTCCTTGAGTATGGCAGATCTAAAGAATATGTCTTTTTATTATTATCCAGCTGAAAAAATAATAAAAGTGCTCTTTGTGGGAGAATAGAAAGAAAACTAATACCACTTTTGGAAGAGAATGGAAAGAAAACTAAAGACAGTGGTTGATTAGGCCATATGGAACATTAATCTGATTTGTGGACATACCATCTTGGCAAATTACAAAGTATGAGAGAGGCAAGCTGAGAGCTGATGGTGGGGAAAGTACCCAGTCTTGTGTCCTAAGCTAGACACAGCTTGTGAATGAGTCTCTAATCATACTTTAATATAATGTAATGACCTAATGTGAACATATAATTTCATCTCATGTCCTGTTTTTCCATTAGATTCTTTGTTCCATGGCCTTCTGATTCAGAGTAAAGCTATAGTATAGCAAGAGTGCTTGGCATGGCATGCCTTTGTATCCCAAGAACCCTAAAATAATGTCCTCAAGTACTTTGTGTCTTTCTGTAACATTTTACTCTTTATCCCAAAACCCAAAATTTCTTTTTGGTGCTTTTCCACTCATTGGTGGTTCTAAATGGTCTTTTCAAGTACCTATTGTCTTTAGCAGTTGTTTCCTAAGACCAACATTTTCTAAATTGACAGATCAACTTAAGTTCTTGCTTCATATGCCAACCTGGGTTTTCAGATATACTGGTGAGAGTTCTTCCTCGGTTAATAACTGTAATAATTCAGGGGTTTTTTTGTACTCTTTTTCCTTGAAAATTGTCATCACTTTACTTTTCTCTTATTATATTTCTGTGTAGGTTCCAAATAAGTTTCGATATCCATTCTACTATGAGATGTGTTGGTATGTGTTGGAGCGCTATGTGTACTGCATAACCAACCGCTCCCACTTAACGAAGGAATTTCAGAAAGAATCCCTCAGCATGGGTAAGTTTTCTGCCTGTATGAACTTTTGTGTGTGTTTGTTTTGAGACAGAGTCTTTCGCTGTCACCCAGGGCTAGAGTCACCCTCAGTCCTAAGGGGTGCTTTGTGTGCTTTCACATATTGGGTGAGCATTTATTTTCAAATGAGAATAGAAACTATGGGTAAAGTTATGCAGTAAAAGGAAAATGCTAAAGCACAAATTATCTTACATGAAGATCCAATAGACATGTGTGATTTGAGGATATTACAGTGTTGGCTCCTTACCAGTTTAAAACATGAAACAGTCTAAAAAGTAGTGGTGAAATCACAACAGTAGGGGGATCATAGCTCATTACAACCTCAAACTAACTCCTGGGCTTAAGTGATCATCCCATCTCAGCTTTCTGAGTAGCTGGAACTACAAGCACATGCCACCATGCCTGGCTAATTTTTCTATTTTTTGTAGAGACTGGGTCTTGCTATGTTGCCCAGGCTGGTGTTGAACTCCTGGGCTCAAGCAGTCCTCCTGCCTTGGCCTCCTAAAGTGCTAGGATTATAGGCATGAGACACCATGCCTGGCCCCTATGAACTTTCAAGACTACCCCTTAGGACTGAGGGTGAGGACAGGAATATTCAGTATGCTAGGTTTGTTTTTTTGTTGTTGTTGTTAACTTCTTTTTTCTTTTCTTTTTTTTTTTTTTAAGTTGTTCACTGATATATGCTTTTGCTCACTTAGTTATTAATATATTTTCGGTTTTTTTACTTATCTATTTATAAGTACCAAATTCACTCATTGGAATTGAATACCAATTACCCACCTAGATGTGAATTACTGGCTAAATGAAATACTTTGGGTCTGATCTCTGTCTGAGTTGCTAGTACTTAGCTTCTCATGAAAGATGATCAGTTGTCTGATATGTTTTGTTGTATAAAGTATGGTCGGTCTTCAGCACAATAAAAACTAAGAATATATGATCAAAATAAACTATTATATTCCAAGCACTATACTAAGCAGTTTACGTACATTGAATTCTTATCATTACCTTTGTGGTAGGTATTATTATCCTCATTTTACAAATGGGGACGTTAAGGTTCAAGGAGATTTAAAAATGTGTCCATAATCTTACAGTTAATAAGTGGCAAAGCCACATCTTGAACAGGGTTGGTCACACTCTACAGTCTATGCTCTTAACCTGTGTGCTTAATGTTTACCCAACATCTATCAAGAGAAATGTTTCATTAGATGACAGAGTAGTTTCAGTATACATTTTTAGACTGTTCCATGTTTTAAACTGGCAAGGAGCCAACATTGTAATATCCCGGTATCGTACATATCTATCGAATTTTCAAGCAAGATACTTTGTGCTTTAACATTGTCCTTTTACTGCATAAATTTATCCATAGTTTATATTCTCATTTGAAAACGAATGCTCACCCAATATGTGAAAGCAAGATACAGAATTGTATATGCAGCATGATCCCAATCTTATTTAAAAATACATCTAATCAAGTCACACCTGCAGATGGCACACACCTGGAGTCTCAGTCACTTGGGAGGCTGAGGTGGGAGGACCTCATGAGCCTAGGAGTTGGAGACCAGCCTAGACAACATGGCGAGATCTTGTCTCAAAAAACCCCACAAATATCTCGTCAAAGTCATACACATATGCATAGAAAAAGATGGAAAGAAATACATTGCAGTGTTTAGTGTTTATCCCAGGGTAGAGGGATAGGAATGACTTATTTATTTCTTTGCACCTTCTTACATTTTCTAAATTATTGATAGTAAATATATATTACTTTCATAATAATAAAAAAGACCAGGCCGGGCGTGGTGGCTCACACCCATAATCCTAACACTCTGGGAGGCCAAGGTGGTGGATCTCTTAAGGTTAGGAGTTCGAAATCAGCCTGAGCAAGAGCGACCCTGTCTCTACTAAAAATAGAAAGAAATTAATTGGCCAACTAATATATATACAAAAAATTAGCCAGGCATGGTGGCACATGCCTGTAGTCCCAGCTATTCAGGAGGCTGAGGGAGAAGGATTGCTTGAGCCCAGGAGTTTGAGGTTGCTGTGACCTAGGCTGACCCCATGGCACTCTAGCCCAGGCAACAGAGTGAGACTCTGTCTCAAAAAAAAAAAAAAAAAAATCTTCCTTTTCAAAATAGTCACTTTGTTTTGTTTTTTATGTTGCTAGGATTTCCATTCCAAAGCTTAATTTTATGATCAAAATTTAGGACAAAACTACTTTTAAATCTATGTGCTTCATACTGTCTATTCTTTTAAAAGATAATGAAATCATAATCCCAAAATCAAGCTTAAATTTGAAACTGATTTACAGCCACTTTCATAAGTAACTGGTTTCTATTTAAAAGAGTCCTTCCCAAACTTTTAAAAATCCAATTGACCATTACCTCAGTTGTCGTACTAAGTCAGGATCCTATTTCTGCCTTTACCTGTGATTTTCAACACCGGACAAATGAGTTGGAATAAGGAGAGAGCATTATTTAAATGTGATAATTTTGTCATTTATAACCTCAAGGCCCCTACCATGATGACAATTTATCTTGTTGATCACATGGCCAAGTACCATGTTCTTACTGCAGTTTTTCTTCCTATTGGTAGATTTGGAATTAAATGGGTTAGAGTCTGGAAATGGGGATGAAGAAGGAGTGGATCGAGAACCCCGACGCTTGAGCAGCAGGCGTTCTGTCCTCACTAGCCCTGTAGCAAATGGAGTCAACCTGGATTATGATGGACTGGGCAAAACCTGCCGAAGTCTTCCAAGTCTGAAGAAAACTTTGTCTGGGGACTCATCCTCTGACTCTAGCCGGAGCTCCCACAATGGCCAGGTGTGGGATCCCCAGTGTAGCCCTCGAAAGGACAGGCAAGTGCATCTGACCCATTTTGAGCTTGAAGGCCTTCGCTGCCTTGTAGATAAGTTGGAGTCTCTGCCACTGCACAAGAAATGTGTCCCCACAGGGATAGAAGATGAAGATGCTCTCATTGCTGACGTAAAGGTAAGGTTTTGTTATGTTGCTTGACAGCTATTAATCTGGCTAGGGCAATTGGTTCCTGGATTCAAAAGGAGAAAGTACAGGAATTTTGAGTAATTTCTGGTTTGACCAGAGAGGAGTTAATATGTACATGTGTTTGTTAGTGCTGCTCAATGTTTCAATTCCTAGAATGAGGTTAAGTCCCTGTTTGGAAAATACTAACATTTTATGTGTTCATTGAGGACTTAAATTTAGCCCTAAAAGCCTAGATTTCTGACTGACCCCAAAAGTAAAGGAGAACCCCAAAAAGTGTTTGTTACTTTAAACTTAGGTTGCTCTCAGATAAAGAGCCTATTGCAGGCCGGGCGAGGTGGCTCACGTCTGTAATCCTAGCACTCTGGGAGGCCGAGGCGTGCAGATTGCTCGAGGTCAGGAGTTCGAAACCAGCCTGAGCAAGAGTGAGATCCCGTCTCTACTATAAATAGAAAGAAATTAATTGGCCAACTAATATATATATAGAAAAAATTAGCCGGGCATGGTGGCTCATGCCTGTAGTCCCAAGCTCATGCCTGTAGGCTGAGGCAGGAGGATTGCTTGAGCCCAGGAGTTTGAGGTTACTGTAAGCTAGGCTGATGATGCCACGGCACTCACTCTAGCCTGGGCAACAAAGTGAGACTCTGTCTAAAAAAAAAAAAGCCTATTGCAGGACAAAAGTGGCTGAAAGCAGGCTGGTTTATATTGAGTAGCTTTAGCATCTGTAGTTTCAAATTTATGTAGTATTAAGACTTAAATACATTGGGACAGCTTCTGAGAAAAGTGTTAATGGCTTTATCAAGTTTCTTCATATTGTATATATTGTTTTCTTTTTCAAGAGGTCTCTAACATTAGTATTCTTCAAAGCCTACCCCATCCCTCATGTATTAGCCTCAAAGAAATGAGCTTATTTTTGAGGAATCCAAATTTGAACCCTCTAAACTAGAGGGAATTCTTTTAACCACTTCGAGGGGAGACGGCGCTCACCGGCCACAAAACCTTGCCCACAGCCGGCACTCGTAGTCCGCACAGTAGTTTGTGCTGTGCATTAACAATGAATCCGTTTTGCTCTTGTGTGATGAGGAAAACTTTAAAGCACTGAAAGCTTGTTTTACTTTACAGGCAGCTTTACTTATAATGTAAATCAGAATAGGTAACATATACATATATTTTTTATTATGTTATTTTTAAATGTTCACAATTTTATTTTGATAAGTGAAAAATTAGAAAGGCATATCACGGCTGTTGGCTAAAGTCGATGCTCAGCTGTGCGCCTTCATATCATGGCTGTCGACTAAAGTCCGTTCATCTGTGGCTATCAACTATAGTTGATGCTTGTACCGAAGTGGTTAAGTCTTTCCTCATAAATAACCATTAAGGTGAACACCAAAAAGTGTAAAGCTGGGAATAACAATTTTCTTTTAAACTCAGTGTTTGGAAGTATGTCTTGGGTGCAGGACATGGTTTGTGTATTAGAAAGTTAGTCCACAATTTGTAGTAAGCGTTTTTTAAAAAATCTGTCACATAGATTATTTTAAGAACTTTTAGGGAATAATTTTGGGGCTTCAATGATGGTAGGCTAAATGTTTTGTAATAGGTCTTTCCTGTCCCTGATTACTGATCCAGGTTTTCCGTGGTCACCATATAGCCAGCTGAGGTGCTCCACAGCTTCTGCCAGCCATCTCAGAAAAGAATTCCAGAGACTGGGATGGGACCACATCTTTTTTTTTTTTCTTTTTATAATTGACATTTTAATTATATCTTACATTGTTTATGCATCAGTGAAAAGACAATAAATAACAAAGGCTAACAGGGTGGTAACTTGGTGAGATTGGTCCTCTTCAGTAGTGATAGAAGCTGGACAGTTGGTATTAGAGTTTGTTTTTGAAAGATTTGCTATAGAAGAGGCAGGTGGTATAATTGTGGCTTGTATTTAGGGGAGGAAATGACAAAATTTCAGTCTTATTTCTGTAATGATTAATGTGAAACAAATCAAATATAGCCATATTTTTCCACACTTACAAACTAGATCCCAGACTCATTTCATAAACGTGAATGAGCAAAGGACATTTAAATTTTTCTTTTCCATTGTGGTAGTACTTACTTAATCGTATAATCCTATCAGTTTGATTGAGTGTAACATCCTTTTACAGAATTCTCTTTTTATGTAGTTATTCCATCATTGAAGCATGTGGGAAACTTTAAGTTGTGACTTTTGAGACTTGTTTAATTTGTGTAACTGTTGTTAACACTAAGAAGATAGGTTTCTAAGATTGTATCTCATAATAATTCTCTTGGCCTGGGTATTTATATTTGTGATTCATGAAAAAGAAAAACATCTTTGCAGCCCTAGGATATGTCTATAGTTAGATTTGACTCCATTGAACCCTTGTAGAAAGCCATATTATAATCTAGTATAATCAATTGTACAAGGTCAAGTGTGGTAGAAATATATAAGTAAAACCATTGGAGTAGTTCAAAGCTAAATAAGGAGATTTGAGGAGACAGAGTGATACAGTGGTATACCAGGGAAAAATGTATTAATAGAAAGATTTAGGTCAGTTATTAAGCAAAAAGTATGAAGAGGAATGAGTTAAGAGACAACCAAAGAGGCCTGGTGCGGTGGCTCATGCCTGTAATCCTAGCACTCTGGGAGGCCAAGGCGGGTGGATCGTTTGAGCTCAGGAGTCTAAGCCACTCCTGGAGCCAAGGTGGAGAGTTGCTTAGATCAGGAGTTCGAAACCCGCCTGAGCACAGAGCGAGACCCCGTCTCTACTATAAAGAATTAATTGGCCAACTAATATACATACAAAAAATTAGCCAGGCATGGTGGCGCGTGCCTGTTAGTCCCAGCTAACTCAGGAGGCTGAGGCAGCAGGTATGCTTCGAGCCCAGGATTTGAGGTTGCTGTGAGCCAGACTGACGCCATGGCACTCACTTTAGCCTGGGCAACAAAGCGAGACTCTGTCTCAAAAAAAAAAAAACAAAA